GGTTATCAAGGTTCTGAGGTGGGTATCAGGGTATACACTTCGCTTTTTCTGTTAGGCAGTTATCATGTCTATAGAAACTCAATAAATCCATTTGAAAGCGAATTTATTACATAGATGGCATTAGAATACATGTATATGAGTGGGATACAAAAGAAACCTCAGGAAAAGACGAAGTATTGATGAAATAGTTGAGCTCATCGTCGACAACGGCGAGCTCGAGGACGAGGTGAATGCGAACAGTACATGCTATATTAGGCAATTCGGGGCTTAGGTAGGAGTCTGGTCAGTCGCGCGGACAGACCAATTGCCGAAATCCGACTCGCGACTTGAAAATCGAACCGTGGCGATCCCGCCTACCGTACCAGGATTCGAGAGGATGCAAAATGAAAAGTTGCAAAGAATGAGCGCGGGAATCTCGCGACCCTGCATCCTTGGAGTCTGATTCGGTCTTACAACTGTTCGGTGCATACAGTGTAGCACAGGTCCTTGGGCCAGTACAGGTCCTTGGGTCACGTCTGATAAAACTTTCCCGGACCTCGCCCGATTAATCCAATATTTTTTTCCCAGTATGTACCATATATGCCTCACCTACCCTGAAAATTTCAGCCCTTCACGATGCCTTGAACCTCTAGGAGAGCATCCGGTAGTGTCAAAAAAACGAAAACAGCGAAATTTTGACTTTTATTTCATTTGAGCTATCAGTTCGGGCCATGATTTCTCAATGTAAAACTCATAGGCAGGTGCAGACCACATTCATGTTCCCCTAAGAAAGAATGTTCAAGGCAAACGGGGCCGATTTGAGTAGACAGCAGCGATTTTCTGTTTCAGCTCAAACGGCGTGACAGGCAACGGCAACCAAGTACGCGACCGACGCGGCGCGGCTCTGTCAAATCTGATCTGTTTTGGCGGTGTCACACGCGGGTCACGCTGGCCCAAGGACCTGTTTTGCACGCTTTCGAGCACTCATTTGTGTTGATCAGTGAAGAATAGCGCAGACTCCATTTTTCGGGCTGGAAAATTAGGGTAGACAGTGCTATATAGAATAGAAATGATCTGTCTCCTCAGATTTGAATTTGAGTTGAAGAAAAAAATGTGAGAAAAGAATTTCATTCTCGTGGCCCAAGGACCTGTGCTACACTGTACCTTGTCTGTCGTTCGCTTTTCGTCTGGTCGCTTTTCACCGGTCGTTCTCGCTGTTTCTCCACCGTGTGCAGCTCCCAAACCACGCATTTAGTGACATCACGCCACAGCGCGCACCACCAAGGAAGCCTTGTACACCACGTCGACTTGGTCGCGCCGTTTAGATGCCCAGCGTGAAGCGTCCGGCCCCTGACACTCTCCATACTCTACGGTCCTCAAAAAAGCCACGCACCGAGCTTGACCTGAGCAGTTCTGCCCCAGGCCGACTCCCCACTCGCCGGTCCTCGAAGCAGCCGCGCACGGGGCCGAAGCGGCGACGCGCGGCAAAGGAGGGCAGAGACTCTGCAAATCTGTTTCAACGGTGGGCGCAGATCGGTAGAGAAGTCTGGGATCTGGGCAAGGATACTTTGACGCAACTCGCGATAGCTATGGAAGGTGGGTGAGGGTGCGCGTCCGCTGTAGCACGCCTCTCTAACGCGTCGCCTATCGCAGGGGTAAGAGATCACGATTCACCTCGTCGACCACGATCAGCGCCACCGCCCCAAGGACTGAAACAAGAACCAGAACCTGTTGCGGGACCATCTGTACTGCCGCCTCAAGCACGGCGAAAATCACTATCTCGACCTCCGTCGCCGCCTGCTTCGCCAGGTGAACAGAATCTCTATGCTGATGCTCCGGAGAATTCCGCACCATCGGGGCCGTCTTTCCCTCCTGCGAACAATCTGCCACCTTTCCAACGACGGAAATCACTTCGAACATCTTCAGAATCTGCTACACCGTCTCCCTCTTCGTCGGGGCGCCAATGGGACGAAATACCCCCAGCAGACGGTCAAGACCATACTCCTCCGACCTCTACCACCCCTGGACCAGAAGTCCCTACCACTCCTCGTCGTCTGCCACCGCGTCAACGGAAATCCCTTGATTGGATGCAGGCAGAGTCTCAGACTCCGTTCCCCGTCCAAACAGTGCAGGATCCCAGTCCGACTCGTCCTGCACACATGCCGACACGTACTACGAGAAACACTATACATGGCTCGACCTTTTCGACTCCGAAAACCTTGCCACACCGCCAACGTATCCCGGTCGATTTCACGAGATCAGTCGCCCCACCGCCACCTTCAACTCGCCGTGTTACGGCGCATTACTCAACGTCGCACATGGACGTCGACACGCCGACGCGGCATACAGGAGCACCGTTTTCTATCCCAGGTGGCTATCCCGAGCTAGACGCTGCGCTGGCAGCCTCTGGGAATCGGAGACGGGTACAAGAGATCACAGATAATATTCCTGCGAGAAAGTATCAAAGCAGGGAGCACATCTTTGCTAAAAACGTAGGTATCTGTGTTTGGCTCCTTCAAAGGCTTTTTATTCATTCATTCTCGCCCATTAGCACAAAGCTCAGCTAGAAGCCGACAGGAAGAAAGCCCAGGAGGAATTAGAGCAGGAGTTGTATGGATACAAACGGTCGAGAGGTTCGTGCATTCTCCTATCAATGCCACCTTTCTCTCATCCGCCACACTCGCGTAGGATACGCGTCCGACTTCCGAACATTTCAAAGTATGTAGCCTTTCAACTCAGCGGTTCAGCGCTGACCAGCGTACATGGTTTAGATTATCTGGGTTATCGTGCCACACTAGAG